AGGCCAGGCGCTCATCATGACCCATCTGGGATCCAAGGGGCTTGGCTACTTTACATTCCCGCCCAACAAAGAGGAGACCCAGCTGCTCCGATTCCCCAGGGCCACAAGCCAGGCCACAAAAGCCACGTCCAGTGGGCTGTCTCCTAAAACTGGGTGGCCCCTGGGCCTCTCCCTGTGCAGGACAGGAAAGACCGGGGCCGGCCTCCCAGGGTGAGTCTCCGGGCCCTCGGGGATCTCCTTCTGCCGGGCTAAGGCCCCAGAATTCTCTGGGAGGAATAGGCGCACACACACACACACGCACACACAGACTCTCTCTCTCTCACACACATTCTCTCTCACACACACACACAACCCTGTGACAGCTTCCACATTTGGAGCTGACAGATGTGCAAGGTAACAGCTCGGCACCGCCTGTGCAGCTGAGGCCTCGGCATCGCGAGCTGGATTATTTCCAGCGAGGCTCAGGGCGGTTGTGTGAGCACACACTCGGGTGTGTGTGAGTGTGTGTGTGAGAGAAGGAGAGTGTATGAGTGTGTGTGAGGGTGTGTGGCTTCTCTCGATCCCTCTCTCTCCATCTAAGTCTGTCTTACTGTATTTTCAAATCTTTCTGCCTCTGTCTGTTTTCCTCCCTTTCTCCACCTTCCGCTCACTGTCCTGCTCACCCTGTCTCAGTCTTTCACCTTCGCTATGTTTGTTTTTGTGTCTTGGCCTGGATGTTCTAGAGAGGAGAGGGGACTGACCTCCTCTCAACTCCTTCAGTTTGCCCCTGGTCCCTTTCCTGTCCCACCCAGACCACAGGATGGACCCATAGCAAAAGCCCATTTTGTTCCAGATAATGAAGTAGCCGTCCCTGCCCCATGCACAGGGCTCCTGCCAGGGGGACGGATGGGAGAATCTGGGGCTGTCCTGTTAATTAATTATTTTTCACAGCTCCCTTTTTAATGCTCTAGTGAAAGTGGGGACACAGCTAGATCCACTGAATTGGAATCTAGGGTGAAGGAGGACCAATGGGAGAGTGATTTTTTTTAAACTCCTCTGTTTAATTCTGTGATTCTGACACAGGCCAGCCCCACCCACTTCTACAATACATACATGCTTTCCTTTAGGGATTCCAAGCAGGGTTTGAACCCTACATAGGGATGCCTGGGCTGGGTGGGGTCAGCTGGAGGGTGGGCCTGAGAGGTGGATCCCCAAAGGGAAAAAGGAACTTCCTTCTCCCTCCTTTCCTCCTTTCCCCCAACCCCTCCCTGAAAACCCAAGTGCAGGGCTCTCCCAGCTCACACTAAGGGCAGCTAGGGCTGAGGGAGAGTGCATGAGGACTAGGTGGGGGAGTCTTGCTGGGAAGTAACAATGATTCCGGGGTGGGAATGGGGAGCTGGGCTCTACTTCAAAAGTCTGAGGGAACGTCCAGCACTCGGCCCTGCCTCCCAACACTGCGGGCAGAAGACCTCAGGATTGGGGCAGGGAGCAAGGAGAGCTCATTCTGTTCTCTCCTCTGCCATCCTTTAACCAGCCCCCGCTGGCCCCAGAGGCTCAGAGTGAATCCTCAGCTAACTTCCCTGCAAGCTGCCTAGTGGCTTTGAGTCCACTCCTCTCCTCCTCTATACCCCAGATCACTGACAGGTGCCATGGGGCCTGGAGAGCTGTCCCCCCATGGGTCTCCACTCCAGCGACTGGAAGTGCTCTTCGCCCACCTCCCTGTCACCACACGGGCCCCCAATGGTGAGTGAGCACGGCTGGGCGCTATGGGCGTATTCACACAGGGGTGTGCACACGTGCTACGTGAGTGGGAATTACTGCATACACATGCTAGTAGAGGATGCCGTGTTCTGTGGGGAAAGACCACATTCTGCGAGGAGAGGCTGTGGGTGAAGCAGGCCAGAAGGCAGTCTCCCAGAGCCCAGCTCCCGAGGCTAGACGTGGGAAGATGCTAGGGTGAAGCATGTCCCCAAGGAGTGGTTCTGAGTGGGGAGGCAGGAGCACTGGGCTCCTCCAGGCTTGGCTAACAGTAGACACAAGCCCCAGCCTGCACTGTAATCACAGGACGAAGGACAGGAATTGGGGAGTGGGGAGGAAGCTCCTGACCAGCCTAGTCCCAGCTGGTCTTGCTCATGGCCAGAGGTGCTGGAGCTCCCTGGGGTGCGCCTGGAATATTCTCCTCACTCCCCTGCTCCTCACAGACCAGCTGCTGCCCTCTAGCTCGGGGGTATTAAACACAAAACCAAAAACTATCCGGCTCGATCACACCAAAGACAAAGGGAAAACTTGTTTGCCTTTTGGCTAATCTGAGGCCCTGCCCACCCGGCAGCTGGGCTCTGGGCATGTGCAGGCATGCATTGTGTGTTGCTTACGTGTGCTTGTGTGTGTGGTGGCCAAGGCCAGGCCATGCACTCTGGGAACACAGATGGTTAGCCCCTGGAGGCTGGCAAGAAAGTCTCCCTGCTCCGGTCCCAGGCCTGGGGAGGCCAAGTCCAGGCCAAGGAGTAAGGCCTAGGAAATCCCTGTGGCCAGAGCCCATGGGTCACTAAGGAGGCCTTGCGGCTGGCCAGGGAGAGTGATCCTGGGGGCCCCTGAGAGTCAGAATCCTTGCATACAGGGAGAAAGAGAGACAGATCTAGGGTCATTTCCAAGGCTCTTAAATCCCTGGGCTCAGAGAGGACAAGTGTCAGGCGTAGGAGGGCCTCGCCACCTCGTGGGCACATGTGGTACTCCTTACTGAGTCCTGGGCAACCAGCCCAGTGGGGAGAGAGGGAGACAACCCCATGGGACATCCACTAGTGTTGTGCTGGTGCTGACCACCCTCACACTCCCATAGGAGCAAGGGGTTGGGTGAGGAAATCCGCCCAATGGCCACCAGACAGAAGGGGCAGTCCAGGCTGGCCCGGCCCCACATGCAGAGGCCAACCTGATGCCATCAGATGCAGCCTGACCACCTGCGAAACACCTTGGATAAAGGTTTGCAGGAAGGAAATTTAGAGCTCATCTGTTCTAAGGAAACTGAAGCCTGGAGGGGGAGAGGGGCCCTGCCCAAGACCCCACAGCATCTCCATCACAGAGGGAAGTGGGACTGGGGGTTCCTGCTCCAAGGCTCATGCATTTTCCTGTGGGTCCGGTGAGCCCAGGACAAGCTGTCCAGACTGAACCCCAGCCCCACTGAGGCCCAGAATAGGGGCAGTGCAGTGAGAGTTCTTGCCACAGGTCAGCAAGGGAGAGGGCATCCGGGACATGTGGAGGAGATGAGGCTGCAAGTGGGGCTCCAGATGATCTGGATCTTGATATTACAAGGCAATAAAAAATATTAGCCTTTATGGGGCACTTACTGCAATGCTAGCACTGTGCTAAACATTTACAAATATTAGGTCATTTAATACTCACAGTGACCCTTCGAGGGAAGCACCATTATAAACCTCATTTTTCAGATAACGAAACAGAAGCTCAGAGAAGAGAAGCAACTTGCTCTGGGTACCAGCTGGTAAGTGTCAGAGCAGGGATCTGAGTACAGTGATTTTGACTCCAGTGAGGGCAAAGGCTCGCTGGGTGAAGAAAGAGAGTTGCTCTCTCCCTCCTAGGGACCCTAGCAGGGCACTGCCAGCTCTGGCCCAGGGCCTGCCTCCAGCAACAGGAGCTGCCACGGGTTCTCCAGGAGGCACGGCCTCGGTGCGCCCTCTGCTGTGCACAAGAAGGAACGAAGAGAGTACTCTCCTGCACGATCAGAGGCAGAGCTGAGTCCTGGAGACGGCTGGCAGGGACCATGGTCTCTCCTCCCAAATAAGGGCCAGGGGCGAGGGGCTGGCTGAAGACCACCACCACTGTGGGGCTCACAGGCTGGCCCAAATCACCGACCTACAGGATAGGTTTGGTCACAACCCTCGTTTCTCAGGGCTTCCCTCTCTTGGTATCTTGCCTACCTCCCACAAAGGCATGTTGGTCCTAAGCCCACCCCACTGAGGACCAGGACCACGGACCAGATGGACAATAACAGGAGGGCCCACGACAGGCCCCCTGAGGAGCTGAGATTCATTCAGAGCATTGCCATGTGAGCAAAGGGCAGAAGTGGGAATTCAAGAGGGCCAGGGAAAGGACCCCTCCCTGAGGGCCAGGGAGGCTGTGAGTCAGGCCCTGAAGGCTGTATTCCCTTTACATAGGTCAAGGGTAAGGAAAGGGTAGTAAAGACTGGGGTCAGTATAGCCAAAGCACAAACGTCCATCTTGGCCAACTCTGTTTGAACCTGGGCTTCCACTGGAAGGGGAGAAGTGGCAGTGAGAGCCTCTTCAGTGAGAAGAGGCAGACAGCCCCAAAACAACTCCCCAGAAAATAAGGGCAGCACCCCACATTTGGGTTAACTGCTTCAGGAACACCCCTGGGCCTAGCGAACCAGGGAGTTAGTCATGGGCCCTGTATCAGAGGAAAAAGCAGGCGTTAATAAAAGACAATCCACATTTTATTTGTATCTGCCTTTGACATGTACATGAACAGATGGTAGATTCCGGAGGGAGGAGGCATCAGAATGAGGACATGAGGTTCAATAGCAAGTCCTGCTACCCTGAGCAAGGGGCATCCCTGTGGTCCAGAACTTGCACTGTTCTCCCTCCCCTCCAGGCTGTCTGTGAATCTACACGGGCCTTTCCATTTGACACCAGCTCACCCTCCCTGTCCCCATGGACTGGTCATAGGCATGAGACCCAACCTCTCTCCAGTGTTTCAGCTTCCTGTCCTGCTTTTCTCATCTCTAAAATTCTATTCCTGGAGAGAGAGAACACCAACACCCATGACTGCTCTCTCCCAAACCTACTCTTAACTCAGGGTGGTCAACACAAACTCCTAAGAACCAGGAACTCCAGCGACCCGATGCCCTCACAGCTGGCTGGATCTGAGGGCAGGACAGCAGGCATGAGTGCTTATCTGTGTAAGGCAGGGCTGGCGGCGCCACTGTGACAGGATATGGGGAGGCACAGGGCTCCTGGGTGTGCCTGAAAGAGGGGGAGGAAAGCCCCAGGAAGCCAAGGACATGGGCTTATTTATCGTAGAAGTCAACATGGGCTCCAGACTTGAACACGTCCTTTTGCAGCAAGCTTAGCAGTTTCTGGGCTGACATCTTGCAATCCACCAGCTCCCCCTTTGTCTTTAGCTCCTGCAGCCTTTTTCGCAAGTCTGGGTCCACGGAGGTCTCCCGGGCCAGCTGCTGCATGTCTGTGTCCAGTGGACCTAGGGGATGAAGAGCAGAAGATGAGCGGACACGGCTGAGGCAAAGGCCCCTGCCATGTGTGTGGAGTGGTGTAGAGTCAGGTCTGGCCAAGAGGCGACACCTCATCTTGCCTGACATTTGTGGTCAGGGTCACCAAAGGCTCCACTCTGTCACTACTGAGATCCAGACTCAAATTCCAATGCCACTGAACATGGTCCCTCCAGACCACAATGTCTACAACCAAGCTTATCATCTCCTGTCCAACCAGGACCTCCTCCTGACCTTCCCATTTCTATTAATGAAGTACTCTCCTCCCAGACTCAAAACCTCCATCACCTCCTCCTCCCTCCCCCCTCTGCCCCACTGCCAACCAGTCACTGGGTAGGACCCTTCTGCTTCTACACACCCCGACATTCAGGCCCTTTATACAACCCTGCTTCTCTGCCTGCTTCAACTCCACCTGTAGCCCTCTGCTAAATTCATCTGACTAAAACATCACTGGGGGCAGCAAAATGGTGGTATAGGAATTTCTAGCACTTTTCCTCTCAAAGGACCATCAATTTGAACAACTAACTGAGTATGAAATTACTTTCACAAGAGCCAAGGACACATTGAGGAGGGTAGGAAAAATAGATTCATACTACCCCTATGACCCCTACTCCCTCAAGCCCAGGCAGCCCAGCATGGAGAGACACACACTCCCTGTGGGAGTGAGCACCTGATTTCACTGGGGACCCAAGCCAGCCCACCCCAGCACCAGACCAACTCCCATGGCCCTAGGTGGCTCCCTGTGAGCTCCCATGAACCCAGGCCCCCAGCTCACCCCAATGTCTGCCAGCTCCAGCAGTCTCAGCAGCCCAAAGCAGTTCCCACAGCCCTAGGCAGCTTCCTCAGCTCCAGGGTCCCTGAAAACCCAGGCCTCTGATCCATTCCAGTACCAGCTGGCTCCCATGGTCTTGGCGGCTCCATGGCACCAGGCTCCTGGCAGGCTCCCACCATCCCAGGCTCCCAGCCAGGCCCAGTGCCAGGCTGACTTCATGGACCCAGGCTTTGGATCCACTCCAGAAACAGGCTGTCCAGGGACTCCAGCAGCAAGCCCGCCATGGGCATCACCAGATGGCCCACCCAGAATCACTGGATGGGTTGACTGATAAAGGACTTTGCCTACCAAAGTCAGTCTATAAAGACTGGAAGAGGTACCTCCTTCCTCAAATGCACAGACACCAATGCAAGGCCACAAGGATCATGAATAATCAAGGAAACATGACACCACCAAAGGAAACTATTAAAACTCCAATGACTAACCCTCAAGAAACGAAATCTATGAACTGTCTGACAAAGAATTCAGAATACTCCTCTTAAAGAAATATAGAGAACTTGAAGAAAACAGAGAAACCTAAATGAAATTAGGAAAACAATGCATGAACAAAATGAGAAGTTCGACAAAGAAATAGAAACTATTTTAAAAAACAAAATGAAATTCTAGAATTGAAGAATACAATGACTGAACTGAAGAACAGAGAGATCAACAGCAGGCTCAACAAAGCAGAAGAAAAAATTAGTGAACTAGAAGACAGGTCATTTGAAATCATCCAGTCAGTGGAGCAAAACGAAAAAGAGTGAAGAAAACCTACATTAATTAGGGGATACCATTAAAAGAAACAATTATGCATTATTGAAGTCCCAGAGGGGAAAAGGAGCAGAAAGCTTATTTAAAGAAATAATGGCCGAGAACTTCCCAAATCTAGGGAGAGATTTGTACATCTAAGTTAATGAAACTAATAAGTCACTCCAAAACTTCAACCCAAAATGATCTTCTCCAAGACACCAAGACTAGATGGTTTCACTGGTGAAATGTGTCTGTTTTTATGCCAACACCATACTGTTTTGATTACTATAGATTTGTGATATAGTTTGAAGTCAGGGAGCCTGATGCTTCCAGCTCTGTTCTTCTTTCTCAAGATTGCTTTGGCTATTCACGGTCTTTTCTGGTTCCACACAAATTTTAGGATTGTTTGTTCTACTTCTGTGAAAAATGCCATTGGAATTTTGATACAGATTGTATTGAACCTGTAGATTGCTTTGGATAGTATGGACATTTTAACAATATTAATTCTTCCAACCCATGAGAATGGAATAGCTTTCCATTTATTTGTGTCTTCTTCAATTTCTTGCATCAATGTCTTGTAGTCTTCAGTGTACAGGTCTTTCAGCTCTTTGGTTAAATTTATTCCTAGGTATTTCTTTTGATGTAATTCTAAATGGGACTGTTTTCTTAATTTCTTTTTGATAGCTCATTATTAATGTAGAAGAAATGAAAATGATTTTTGTATATTGATTTTGCAACTTTACTGAATTCATTTATTATTTCCAACAGTTTTTTGGTGGAGTCTTTAGGGTTTCCTATATATAATATCATGTTATCTGCAAATAGAGACAGTTTTACCTCTTCCCTTTCCAATCTGGATGACTTTTCTTTCTTTTTCTTGCCTAATTGCTCTGGCTAGGACTTCCAATACTACATTGAATAAAAGTGGTGAGAGTGGGCATCCTTGTCTTGTTCCTCATCTTAGAGGAAAATTTTTCAAGCTTTTCACCATTGAATATGATGTTAGCTGTGGGCTTGCCATATACGGCCTTTGTTATGTCGAGGTACATTCCCTCTATACCCACTTTGTTGAGTTTTTTTTTTTAACCATAAATGGATGTGGAATTTTGTCAAATGTTTTTTTTGCATCTATTGAAATGATCATATAATTTTTATTCTTCACTTTGTTAATGTGGTGTATTGCATTGATTGATTTGCAGATGTTGAACCATCCTTGCACCCCTGGAATAAATCCCACTAGATCATGGTGTATGATCCTTTTTGTTTAAGAAAGCAGGCTTGATCTTGCTGTCACAACCATGGTGCATACTCCAGGATAAAGATAATACATGTGTGCTGATATTACTGTTTCTTCATATCAATGCCTGGCAGCGACGGAGTCTGCAGACCTGTGGTTCCTTAAGCCTTGCACTTAATTGTTCATCTTGGTAAAGCCTGGTAGTGGCTGCAAACAAAATTTCTTTCTACCACTTGGGAAGTGACCACTTTTATTGGCAGATATAATTTTGAGGGGTCAACAAATTTCTTAAAACTAAGCTTGGAGTGCATCTTGGAGAGGCAGAAGGCAGCTGGGCCCACTTCACCCAGGGACCAGCCACCACGGTGCTCCAGTTCAGTCGTGCTGACCCAGACACTGGCAGCCACCATTAGATTCCCTCCTCCAGCCTACTGTATGATCCTTTTAATGTATTGTTGAACTTGGTTTGCTAATAATTTTGTTGAGGACTTATGCATCTATGTTCATCAAGGATTTGGCCTGTAATTTTCTTTCCTTGCAGTGTCCTTGTCTGGTTTTGTTATCAGGGACATGCTGGCCTCATAAAATAAGTTTGGAGAGTTTTCCCACCTTTACACGCATTTACCAGGAGTGCCTTCCATCTGCTGATATGGAAGCAGCCCTCAAGGTCAATGTCCTGTTCAGCTACCTCCAATAAAGCCATCTCTGGTCACCCCACCAGAAGAGAATTACTCCCTTCTTGATCTCTTACAGGTACTTTCTATTCTTCATAGGAACCACAGCACCCCAGAATTTGGAGTTAAGGAGCCTCAGGGGCAGAAAATTAAGGAATCTCAGGGTTGGAAGGAGAGTCATCCTCCTGATCCTTGTATGTCTTTCAACCGTCTGTGCATCCCTGCTAAGTGGAGACTTGTTACCTTTCTAAACAGCCCATTCCTTCTTTGGACACCTGTTAGAACATTCTTCCAGAGACTGAAATGAAAACCCAACTGGTCTCAGCCTTCATTCAGGCCCTGGGAGCCTTGAAAAAAGTTCAACTTCCTCATAATGCCTAGGGCAGCCCCCTGAGATCTAAGCCAGTCACATGGCATTCTAGAGTCTGACCGTGGCTGTGGTTTTCATTTGTTAACTGTTGATTGAGTTGATTCCTAGGCTGAGCTCAGAGTAGGTGCTGAGTTGAATGCTGGCTGCAAAAATAACTGTGCATGTGTTAGGGAGGGAGGATTGGGTACTGGAGAGCGTAAGGAAATAGAAATGGCACTGATCATGAACTTGGAGGCAGGGTTGGATCCTGCTCTGCCACGTCTGGCCTTTAGTCAGGTCACTCTACCTCTTTACCCACAGGGTTTCAAGGAGAATAGACTATTGGATCTCCATCTAAGTTGCTCAGACCTTTTACAACAGCTATGTCACCACCTTCTAATTCCAGCAAACTCAAGCCTAGACTAGAAGCCTCACTTTTAAGAAAGGGGCACAGTGGCATCATGGTAGGGTGGTGAGAACCAGAGCAAGTGTCACAAGACCCCCTACCCTTTTCGTGAGGACAGGGGCCCTATCTTATTTATCCCAGCATCCCCCTAGTGTTCCAGCACAGTTCAGCCTGGATAGTCAGCATTCAACAATGTCTGCCTGCTCTTCATTCATCTAACATTTACTGCAGACTGACTCAGTGGAGCGCTTTGCTAGGTGCTGGGGACATACAGATGAACAGTGCACAGTCCCTGCCTTTAAAGCTTTCCTATCAAGAGAGAGAAGTAGAGAAACATACATATGAAGATAATACAATGCAATAAGTCCTATCTAACAATGAGAAGTGCTAACAATTAGATAGTACTTCACAGTTAATGATCATTTTCATATATATTATCTCATTCCATCCTCCAAACTGACCTATGAGACAGGTAGCATCTTCCCTGCTTCACATGAGGAAATGGGGCACAGGCCTGGAATTCAAACCCTAATTGTCTTTCAAACTCCAATATCTCAGACTTTCTGGCCCCATTCTCCAGTCTAGGCAGCTCCCCACTGTGCCCTGCAACTATGGCTCCCTGCCCCCATCAGCTCTAACTTCCTGGGAGCCTCTATTTCCCTTAACAAGTGATGGGGTCATGATTCAGGGACAATATACTCTGTGGGCCCTTTCCTGGAGGCCCCTTGCCCAGCCCCCGAAGGGGAACCAGCTGGTTACGGGGGTCAGAGATGGCAGTAATGCCACACCTACCTGGGGCATAGCTCAGCACCCTTACACTCGGTTCTTCTGTGGCCAGGACCTGGAACATCATGTCACGGGCAGCCTTCCCCGCACAGTACAGTGCCCAGCCCTTGAAAGGCTGCAGGGCACAGATGGACGAAATGTTAACCACGGTCCTGCTGAGGCCAGGACTGTTCGGGAAGGCCTTCAGGATGCCAGAAGTCAGGCAGAGCATGGAGGTCAAGTTCAGAGCCCAGTAGTTGTTCACTTCAGTTGAGTCAGCCAGGTCCACGAAGCCTTTGGACACATCCCCAAGAGTGCCTGAAAAATCAGACCTTAGCAATCACCCAGTGCAGGTGGGGCTTTCTCTTCCCCCAGCCCTCTCCAAATCCCTCCAAGCGCCACCCCCCCCCCCATCCCATCCGGATCTAGAGGCATCTCCCTAGTGCTTCTGAGGATGCCTCTCTCTTCCCCGCTTTGCAGACAGACACACCTGGGGAATCCACTTACCCCAAGTTGCAGAATGAGAAGAGGCACGCCCTACTCTGGGACTGGGGGAGAACTCTGGGGGCCATTTGGAGAAGCGGGGGAATTGACTAGTGCTGGGAGACCCCATGCCCCGACTCAGGCCTCCGCCAGAGGGCGCCGAGAAGGCGATCGGGAAAGTTGACTGGCGTTTTGGAAAACCAGGCCTTGAAACCGGGAGGAGTTGGGGGGAGGGCACCAAGTCTTCCTCCACACCTCGCTGAAACAACTAAGACGTTCAGGCGTCTTTTCTGACTCTTAGGTCTTTCTGCCCTTTAAAGTTTCAAGCGGTGGGGGAAGTGAGAGGGAGGAACAGAAAGGGACGCTAAGCAGTATTCCAAGCGCTCACACAAGGAGCACGCCTCCCGCTGGCGGGCGTCTTACCCACGTTGTTGATGAGCAGCACTCGCTGTAGCCCCTCGGGCCTGGGGAGCTCACGCAGGGCGCCGAGAAGCTGCTGCAAGCCGGCCTCGGCGCCCAGGTCGGCGGGCACCCGCACCACGCGTAGGCCCGGCCGCGCTGCGCCCAGCTCGGCCTCCAGCTGCCGCAGCGCCTCGTCGTCGCGGGCGCTGAGGACCAGCACGGAACCGGCTGACAGCAGGGGGGCCAGGAGCGGGGCCAGCGCCCGGCCGAAGCCGCGGGAAGCCCCAGTCAGCACGCACACCGTGCGCCCCAGGCCACCCTCCTTGCCGCGGCCACGCTCCATGCTTCCGACCTCCGCCCACTTGCTCCGGGACCTTGGACCCGGCAGGGGCGGGGCGGCCGCGGTGGGCGGGGCCGCGACGGGAGTAGGCGGGCGACAGGGCCAGGGCGGGAACCTAAGGCCAAGGACTGTGGCCTCCCGGTGCTTATTTCCTTGGCCGCTGGTGGCAGAGGCGGAGGCACCAGCGCGGTCAGAGTCAGCGCGAAAGGGCTAAACCCAAGGGGCCGGGAGGCGCGGCCTCCACGGGAAATCCTAGCTCAGTTCCGAGCGCGGCCTCCTTCTTCGCCCGGCACCACCGCAAGTTCAATCCCACGCTGGGACTCATTCTCCTCCCAAGTCCAGACCCAGCTTCCTTGCACAAGTGACCTTCTCCAGGTCACGCCATCTAGCTCCGTGCTGGCATCACTGTACGTGGCCAGCAAAAGCCCTGAATGGAGCGCATGCCAGTTTAGGGCTTGGGAAACTCGCCGCCCTGTGGGTAACAGGAGCTACCTCCTGGAGAATCGCAGTCGCTCCTCCAAGTGATGTAAAAACCTCTTCTCCCTTACTAGGCTCTGAGCAACTCGGTGCTCGCGCCGGTTCCTCTACCTCTCTGAGATTTCTGACTCCTCCCTCCATAAAGGTCTGTGTTCCCCAGGATTCTGCACCCACTCATGCTACACTCTTCCTAGTAGGCAATTCTGTCCACTCTCAGCTTCAAGTTTACGCAGATGATCACCTAAGTCTGAACTTCCAGGCTTGCGATTCAGAAAACCCACATTTCCGGGTTTTTTTCAAGGAGAGAGGGAAGATGGGAAAGTTGGCAGACAGCTACAAATTTCCTTACAAAGGAGTCTCTTCAGAATTTAGCAAGAGCGGTAAGTAACCTCTCATAACTCAGCCAAGCCCTCTCAGGGCTGTTCCCTCCCCTGGCGATGGACGGCAAAGTGGCCTTGTTAGGCTCCTGGAAAAAAATGTATTTTGCTTCCTTGTGCTGTGGGCTATCATTACCAACACCAAAACAATTTTGGGGGAAGCTTTTCTCTTGTCAACATAGGTGCCTTTACCACAAACATTTTGTGAAATGTACGGTTCAGACATGGAACATATTCTTTTTTTTTTTTTTTTTTTAAAGATTTTATTTTATTTATTTCCCCCCCAAAGCCCCAGTAGATAGTTGTATGTCATAGCTGCACATCCTTCTAGTTGCTGTATGTGGGACTCGGCCTCAGGATGGACGGAGAAGTGGTGCCTCGGTGCGCACCCGGGATCCGAACCCGGGCCACCAGCTTCGGAGCGCGCGCACTTAACCACCAAGCCACGGGGCCGGCCCTGGAACATATTCTAAGAACAAATGAAACTTCAGAGAAACCTTAAACTTCATTTAGTAGATTTATTGTTAATATGCATAGTATTATTCTGAAACTATTTTATATAAAGTAGGACAAAGAAAATAATTATGCTAATATTCTTAGGAGCCAAGATTTTCAGTATTAGAGAAAAGACACCAAGTATAAATTCAAGGAAGTTAAGGGAAGAGTCTGTAAAATTGAATTTGAATTGGAAGCCAAAAAATTGTAGAATTTATTGCAGTTACTTTCACTTTTATACAATAACACCAAAAACACGTTTTTCTCTTCCGGGTGCATTGGTTCTCCAATACCTATGACTAATCTTTCTAAGAGTTCTCTCATTAACAATGGCAGAGATTAAAGTGGGGTCCAGATCAAGTCTACAGTTGTGTTTTGTTTGGCCCCAGTAAGGCTTTTTTTTTTTTGATGTGACATTTCTAAAGTGGGAGATTTTCTAGCTTCTTTTGAATATTGGGAAGGTCTGGCAAGCTGGGTTCTGGTTGAGGTGAGCAGCAGTGCCTCTTGGGAGGGAGACTGGGGCTCCAGTTTGCCAAGACCCTCACCACTCACAGGTGTAGGCATTGGCGTCTCCTGCTCTTGATGCATAGCTGCCTACTTACCCAGTGGTGATGGTCAAAACATTTAACAATCAGACCACTGTGCTGCATGACTGTGGAGAGGTGGGCCTGGGGAGAGGGAAGCAGGCATTTGATATGTTAACACAGGTAGGACTCTGTGTATATGTGTAAACCATTGAAGCTGCCCTGCTTTTCACTTATCTATTAATGATAGAAGGTAAAGATCTTAAATCTGATTGCTCCAAAGCTAAACTCTTTTTTACTGGCCCAATGGCCTACTCTTTAAACAACTTTTAGCAGCTTCTCCCTGCTCTCCAGGCCTTGAAAAACAGGTTGGTGAAAGCATAATGCATCCATTCCTTCACTTGACGTTTATTGAATTTCTACCATGTGCCAGGCTTTAAAGAAGGGTGAGAACAATGAAGGGATGGTTAAAAATCAGACCTCGCCTCTTCTAAAGCTGGCTGCTTTTAGGAGGAACCGTTTGGAAAAAAACCCCAAGAAGAGTGTGGTTTGCCTGGACTGGCTGAGAGCCTGGGAAATCCTTCCTTTCTGAGGAAGATGATTATCTGCCCCACACCTCCCACTAATGCCGGTCTTATTTTGAGTAATATTTCGGTAATTTACAAGTAATATTTCAAGGGCAACACAGCCCATAGAATTCCTTTAACTATAGCACAATAGTTCCCAAATTTGTCTGCACATTGGAGTCACTGAAGAACTTCAAAAACACTGATGCCTGTGTCCCACAGGCCTGGACTTGGAATTTTTAAAAGATCTTCAAATGATTCTAATGTGCAAACAAGTTTGGGAACTATTGCAATAGCAATTGGCAACAATATTGTTTTTACAGGTGCAAATTCCTGAAAGGTAAGGGATATGTTGAAATAAATTGAAAAGCCTAAACCTGATAAAGGAGATTAGTGGAAAAATTGTTGAAATTTGAATGAGATCTGTAGGTTAGTTACTGGGATTGTATCATTTCCTGATTTTGACCAGTGAACTGTAATTATGTAAGAAAATGTCCTTGTTTTTGGAAATACATCGAAGTATTTAGAGATAAAGGGGCATTTTATCTGCAACTTACTCTCAAATGTTTTGGAAAAAAAAGTGGAATGAATAAAGCAAGGGTGATAAAATGTTAACATTTGGGAAATCTGGGTTAAAGGTGTACGGGAGTTAGTACTATTTTTGCGACTTTTCAAAAGTCTGAAATTATTTCTAAATAACAAAGGTTTTTTTAAATGAACTATACTTACAACTCAGTAATAAAAAGACAGATAACCCAATTAAAAAGTGAGTAAGGGATCTGAATAGACATTTCTCCAAAGAAGATACACCAATAGTCTATACAATCCTTTCAAATTCTCTATATATTTAAGTTTTTTATAATAAAATGCTGGGGAAAAATGAATTAGAAATATTGGCATAAACTGAGAATCCACCCCCTCCCCCAAATAAATATTTTCTAGCTCCATCTACTGGAAAGGCTTAAAAGCAACGGCAATCCAATAGCAAAGAACACCACTGTAATGTGGTCTCTAAGTACCATTTTTCATTAAAAGGAACCAGGGTTCCCTGGAGAAATGGCTGATTCCAAGTCTGGGGAAGAAATATACAAGATGAGCCTGGAATATTTTGCTTTCTGCAAGAGAACAAGGAATCCATAAAAAATTAATGAGGTCACACAAAAGGACACAGGAGCCGGTATGAAGGAGTTGCCATTGGCCAAAGATGGAACAATTTTAAAAAACTTCTTCTTAAAGGAAGTAGTGTTATGTACCCACATGTACCCAACACCCAACTTGAACAATTATCAACATTTGCCATTCTTGTTTCATCTACCCCCTTCACTTTTGATAGAGTATTTTAAAACAAATCAAATGTGGAACAATTTGAGTTTCAAAAACAAAGAGAAACTGTAATTGGATGAACCACGTAGAATATATAAAAGCCAATGAATTCATAATAATACTTAAAAAATAAAATATATTGGTCACCATTGGAGGTAAGTAGGACACCAACCCATTATTCTGAAAATTGGCAATTTAAAAGGGAAGAATTTAACATTTGTCCTGTGTTTTTTTTTTATTGAGGTCATAATAGTTTATAACATTGTGAAATTTCACTTGTACATTATTATTTGTCAGTCACCATGTAAATGCACCCCTTCACCCCTTGTGCCCACCCACCAACCCCCTTCCCCCTGGTAACCACCGAGCTGTTCTCTCTGTCTGTGTGTTAGTTTATCTTCCACATATGAGTGAAATCATACAGTGTTTGTCTTTCTCTGTCTAGCTTATATCACTTAACATGATACCCTCAAGGTCTATCCATGCTGCAAATGGGACGATTTTGTGTTTTTTATGGCTGGGTAGCATTCCACTGTATATATATATATATATCACATCTTCTTTATCCAATCATCAGTCGATGGACACTTGGGTTGCTTCCATGTCTTGGCTATGGTGAAGAATGCTGCAATGAACACAGGGGTGAATTAGTCTCTTTGGATTGGTGATTTCGAGTTCTTTGGGTAAATACCCAGTAGTGGGATAGCTGGGTCATATGGTATTTCTATTTTTAATTTTTTGAGGAATCTCCACACTGTTTCCCATAGAGGCTGCATCAGTTTGCATTCCCACCAGCAGTGTATCAGGGTTCCCTTTTCTCCACAACCTCTCCAACGTTTGTTATTTTTTGTCTTTGTGATTATAGCCATCCTAATGGGTGTAAGGTGATATCTTAGTGTAGTTTTGATTTGCATTTCCCTGATGATTAGTGATGTTGAACATCTTTTCATGTGCCTATTGGCCATCTGTATATATTCTTTGGAAAAATGTCTGTTCATATCCTCTGCCCATTTTTTGATCGGGTTGTTTTGTTGTTGTTATTGAGTTGTATGTGTTCTTTATATATTGTGGAGATTAACCCCTTGTCAGATATGTGATTTGCAAATATTTTCTCCCAACTGGTGGATCGTCTTTTCATTTCGATCCTGGTTTCTGTCGCCTTGCAGAAGCTCTTTAGGCTGATGAAGTCCCACTTGTTTATTTTTTCTTTTGTTTCCCTCGTCCGAGTAGACATGGAATTCGAAAAGACTCCTCTAAGACCCACGTCAAAGAGTGT